CCGCGTGTGGGAATGAGGGTTGTCTGCATCGGAATCAGCGCCGTCAGCGCATGCGTTGTTGGGCATGCAGGAAGATGCCGCCAGCAGCAGTGGCGGCAGGGCCCGCACCTCGCCTTCCGTGCAGCAGTCAGCGAGCACCAGCAGCAGCTGTCGGCAAGGGTGGCGGCGAGGCCCGCGACGGGGCCCGCGCGCAGCAGGGCCTGTTGCCCAGCCAGCGACTCCGCCAGGGGTGGCCGCCTCCGACGGTGGCGGCAGGGCTCACCTGGCCCGCCCCGTTTCGTCGCGGCGCGCTGCACTGTGCAGAAGCCGTTCGGCTGGGTGGCCGCCTCCGGCGGTGGCGGCAGGGCCCGCCGCCTCCTGGCGTGGCGGCAGGTGCCACGTGTCACCTGCCGCGCCTGCCGCCACCGCTGAGGGGGTCCTTTTTGTCAATTTGATCCATAGATAGTCTTTTTTGTCAATTCATCTCGGCAGGGGGTCCTTTTGGACAAAAAATCGGGTCGGGCGCCGTGGTAAAGGAAAATGATGGTGGCTCTGTTGGCTCCCTTCTTCATCGCTTTCAAATGCGGCTTAGACATTTTCTATCTTGTCCAGAGGAGTGCAAGGCGGTGGCAGCAACTCCTGAATTGGTCGAGGCACTATGGATTTACATATTTTATCATCACTTCACCATTGTCTTTGCGATATGTCATTCTACAGCCATGTCAAGAACTTGGGACCTTTCCTTTTCAATCAAGTACGCCATCTCATCCGGATTGTACTTCAAAATGGCATGCAAATCTATATATATATACCTACTAATAAAGTATGAAGTGTTTCTGCCCGTCCATCGTCCTACGTTTTATGAAAGCCCCTGATATTTTTTTTAAATAACCTGCGGTCCAGTATTAAGTCCTTCTCCTTTCTCTCTATCTGTTGGGCTTCGGCCCAATTTCTGTAGCCACTGTCGCGCGCACTAGACTACTTGCCACTTCTTATAGGATTGCTGAAAGAAGGTGAGTAATTGCAGAAATTTGATGATCTGTATACAGAATCAAGACATGCCACTGTAGATGTTTTCTTGAAGGCAGCTAGTTACTTGGATTGCACAAATCAACAAGTACCCCCACAGATACCATAAGAACTAAGGTTATTCTTAATTAAGTAGCTCACCAGATCACTTCAAGATTTTTTTCCCACATGAAAATAATAACCTTGAAGTTCAAATATTCTATTGAAACTCCTTTTCTATGTATGAATCTCACGAGACAACTTCCAGTAGACCTCAAAATAGATTTTCGCCCCGCTTTATATATAAAGCAACGAACCGAAGCGAACTATTCTTTCACCTTTTACTTCCAGTAGACTTGGCCAATGGAAATCTCAAATTCCTTAGCATGTAAGCTCTTGGTCATGTATTCTATTCGTAACTCAGCGTATTTTTTTCTGAAGTTTTATGCCTAATTTCCAAACATTTTTTGTCAAGAGTAAGAATGTAACTGTTGAGAACTTGACATAAATGGTTCCTTGCTGCAGCAGAGTGGTATCAATATTACCATAGAAGTAGACGTTGTTTGAATATTCTTGATTATTTGTATTATGTTAATAGCTCTATGATCTGTTCTTAATTGGGACTCCTTACTCCTTGGCTCCCTGTAAATTGTACAAAAGGTAATTTATCTGAATCTTACGGTCTTTTAGTTTGTTCTGAGCCTCTGAGTTTCATCAGTTTCACTTCTAAACGTGATATTTCTATGCTAATTGTCATTTGAAAGGCATGATTTATGGTACCTTTTCTTCGTTGGTTTACATTTATTGGATGTCTCAATGTTGTTCTATCTGCATATGTGCAATCGGATTTACAAAACCACACTAGTAGAAAAAGGGCCTAATGTGGATCACATTAGTCCCGGTTTTTAACTGAACCGGCATTAGGCACAAGCAAAGCAATTTATGATGTTATAAATAAAGCAAGCATCTTCTGTTTATCAAGGTTGCAGTTTCTTAGTTGTTGTTAGTTACCAGATGTGTTAGAACAACACACACACTTATGTAATTTTGCCCTGCCTTTCTGATTTCTGAATTGAAACGAGCATGTGCATGGGTTTCTTGAGAGGCTCAAGTAGTCGCGCTTCGAGCTTGATGTCCCGCGACCCAGTTCCTTGAACCGGCTAACCCTTATTGATTTTGTATGTCCTAAACTGACTCTCATGACCAAGTTCCTCAACCCATCCGACCCTCACAGGCATGTTGTGCAGTGCCTCAACTCATTGCATTGTGATTGAACACATTTAGACAGATAGGGATTAGGTGAATACCGCCAATATCGGCGTGGGTGGTGAGGAAGAAAAGCGACGACCTGGAGTCAATTGCATAAAACTATCACATTTCTGGCTAGGTTTGCAGAAAACTACCAAGTCATTAATCCGTTGCAAAAAATACTGCATTATCACTAAACTTCTTGCAAAAAGCACTGATTAGATGATTTGGCCCATTTAATCACTTTTTGACAGATAGGACCGGGTTGTAAGAAGCTGACTTGGCAAAAAAAATGTCATACACACCCCTGAATCTTAAAAGGAAAAAAGCAATCCGATCCTTCCTTTGGACAGCTCCCGGCGCCGACGACAGTGTACCCGGCGGTGGGTCGTGAACGCGGCAACCAGCCAACCACGATGCCTACCCCACCGTGACGTGCTTGATACGGCGGCGGCAGCCGGTCTGGCGCGGAGCTGATGGTCCCGGAGTTCCACCTCAAGGCATTGCACGCCATCCTGGCCGCGCGCACGCCTTGGCCGATCGCGTCCGCGCCGACGTTGGAGTCGGTGACGGTGCGAAGGCGGGACGGGTGGTTCCACCGGCCGCTGCACGCACCACTCACGGCGGAGCACATCTCGGAGCCGGACCTCGGGGAGCCGGTCGTGGTGAACGTGTACCTGGCCCCGTCGGCCTTCGGCAGGGAGGAGGAGGTGGTGGAGAGGTGGACGGTGGTGTGCGAGCCCTGGGCGCCGGAGGAGAGGGTGGTCGCCGAGGCGGGGGAAGGGCTGGCCGTCAACAGGGCGTACAAGCGCTGCATCACTCTGCTCAGGTCGCTCTACACCACGCTCCGCCTACTTCCGGCGTACCACGTCTTCCGCACGCTTTGCGTGTCCGGCCAGGGGTAAAACTACGAGATGGGCTACCGCGCCAGCTTCTTCGCGGCCCTCTTCTCCCGCACCGACGAGGCGGCCATGGGGAAGAGGGAAGCTAGGCTCGCCGGGAAGGGTGCAGGGGAGGCTGAAGGATTGGTGGGGATCTGATTGCTTTTTCATTTTAAGATTCAGGGTTGTGTATGACATTTGTTTGCCAAGTCAGCTTCTTGCAACCCGGTCCTACCTGTCAGAAAGTGATTAAACGGGCCAAATCATCTGATCAGTGCTTTTTGCAAGAAGTTTAGTGATAATGCAGTGCTTTTTGCAATAGAATAACGACTTGGTGGTTTTCTGCAAACCTAGCCACAAATGTGGTAGTTTTATGCAATTGACTCGACGACATGGGTCGGGCGCCGTGTTAAAATAGAGGACGTGGACTTGTGAGGGAGTCTTGATCCATGCTTATTGTCTTAGGGGCATGCGATACTTCTTTTTTTTCTCCGGTTACAACGCATGGGTAATTTTCCTAGTAAAACCAAAGGGGTCGCACAATATTAGGCTATTGGGCAAAAAAAAAACAAGAGGTTAAGCGTACCGTGGTTGAACGCCAAGCATGGTGCGTCGGTTTTCACTTGAATCACCTGTGTCTCTCTCGAGCAGCTTGGACCTCGAACATCTCGTGGGGCTTGTTCGGCAAAGCTCCCGCTATCAAGAGTTCAAGACCATCGCGTCAGCAGCCACGCGCTGCTGCTTGACCTTGACGATCCTGCTGACCAATTTGTTTGGCCGGCATACGCAGTTTGAACCGGTGGCAGCTGCCCCTTTCTCTTCGACACGAGCTTTTAATCTGATAGAAAAAAAGAAGATATCAGTATGCGTACATGCATACTTTAAGCGCTACTCCCTCCGTTCCGAAATAGATGACTCAACTTTGTACTAACTTTAGTAAAAAATTAACATAAAATTGGGTCATCTATTTTGGAACAGAGGGAGTAGTTCAGGGAAATCGTGTTAGTATGCTACTGAAATCGATCTGTGACCTGGCTCCATGCACGGGAGCTGGACGGACTATTTATCTGTTGCAAGCCATCGACCTTAATGCCTACCATACAGTGGTACTTATAATTTGGTCAAGCTTTTTTTTTTACGTATTTAGTGAAGCTTTCTAATTAAACTTGGAAACTAACAGCTGCTGATTCTGAACCGCACCTTAGACTGTCCTTAGCTGCTGGTTCTAGCCATTTTTTTCTCCCCTGTAATAGTGTAAACCTCAGATCATCTCAGAGATTTTTCTTGGTTGGCGCATGTTGGCACATTGATGCGCTAAAAGTTTCCAGGAGGCGTGCAAAAAAACGCATTTGGCCAGCTTCCATGAGCTCCATGGAGTACTTTCTTTCTTGTTCGGTGGATGCTCAAGGTTTGCCAAAGGCAATTCACATCCTGAAAAGAGAACGGCTCTGGCAGTCCTCCAGGCACGAAATCAGCATACAATAGGCAAATTCTCAGTAGTTGTGCACAAATATTTTCTCTACACCCTCGCCTCAGTCAACCTGGCTTCCAAATCGCTGCTTCAGTCAGATGTTGATATTGACAAGAGAAATTCAGAAGGCAAGTCACGTTCTGAGCCTAGAAATTCAGACGCATTCACGAAAGAGAGAGCCTCAAGAAGTCAAGAATTTGAACCATGCCAAAGAACGAATATGGGTAATTACTCCGTAAATTGGACAAAAACAAAAACATCCGTCCAGATTGCAGTAATCTACACTGCGAGGTGCACGCCAATCAAGTATTCTCTGGCTATCAATATCTGAACTTAAAATTACGACTGCCTGCACCTCGTACAGTCGTCGCTCTAGCAGCTTTATGAGATTTATCATCCCTTCACCATATCCATCAGCAGATTACTATCTCCACGGACGAGGAAGATCCATGTGTGAGTTGCTCCTTAATCCGATGCCTGCTGGCTTCATCCGCCTGGGATCTTCTTCTCCGGGACTCAAGGTCGATGGCATCGCACCCATTGCATGGGCTTCTACCATGCAACTCGATTCTTTTCAAGCCCACGGCATGTTCCATGACAAGCCTTATATAGTTTGTCACCTTGTCTTCATCCTCGAACCCAAACATTATAAATAACTTCAGGTTCAGGTGCTTCAAACCCTTGGATGGTTCCCACACAATGTTAGTCTTCTCGGCATTGTCCTTAGACACTTTGACAAATGGGTGTTGAGTTCGAGATAACTTCATGTATGGAGATGGAAAGTAAACACCACATGTTAGAATTAAACTTGCCACCAAATCATGCAGGACAATGTAACAACAATTGCAATTTAATATCTTAGTCACTTAAAATATTGAAATACGCTCAATAATACTCCCTCCGTCCCACAATGTAGCTTGCAAAAACGTCTTACATTGTGGGACGGAAGGAGTAGTATTTAAGTTTAGGCCCATGTAGAGTTTTTGGATGAATCAGCATGAGTTGAGTCCCAGATAAAGTAAGACATGCGAATGTGCTTCAGGGATTTATATGAAATTACAGCTGCTCACATGTTTTCTTTCCAACAAGATACTTTGCAATAAGGAATTTTAATAGAGGGATGTGTGCACCAAACGATGCAGAGGCCAGTCCTTTCCTCCTTCCGAAAAAATAAGGAGGGGTTTTCGGAGAAATCTAATATGCAAAGGATTCAGCAGAATTTTTTTGTCTACATGGCATTGTCTCGCTACAAAATACTTATAATGACACATATACGCAATACTATTAATATTTGTGATAGATCAGAGTTGGTGAGCCGTGAGTGATTGAAAATTAGTTTAACTTCCTGCTATGTTATTAATGCTGAATATTCCGGAAATATGTGAGTCGCATCAAGACTAAGGTGTGGATTAAATCTAAAAAGGTAAAGTAATGACATACTCTGAATTTCTGCAGGGCAGGTGCAACTTCAAGGATAAACAAGGTCCAGCTCAGGTCACACTCCGAAAAGATATTGTAAAGCGCCAAACTATTCAGGTTGTTGAATATAGAAGTGAGCTCCTTCGGGTGTTCTGGTTTAATCCAATTCTGCAGCAAGAACAAGAATAGAATAGAGAGCTGACAGTAGTAGAAAGGATAAAATGTGATAGTGGATACAGAGAAATTAACTTACCATTTGACAGCCATAATTGAGATACAGTTTAGACAGGTTTGTGGCACTCCTTGAAAAGCACTCGCTCAGCGCAAATGGCACTTGCGATGCCTTGGCCTGAGAACCGAGTTCCACTTTGTAAAGCTCAGGAACATAGCCGAAGCGCACCAGAGGGTTTTTGCGGCTCCAACACCAGAATGTCCTGAGCTTAGGGACAGAGATAAGCTCGATCAGTGCGCAACGAAATCTGGTGAACCAAAGATTCTCAAGCCCGGCATGCGGCGTTTCGATCTTGAGCGCAGAGTGTCGGTCAACCAGCCTGCAGGATCTCAACTTGAGGTCCTTGAGCTTATCACAACCACGAATGAGGTCTGCGACATCGGAATCCCCAAATGCGAGGTCCTGTAGTGTAAGAAACGTGAGCCACCCGAAGGCGACAGGGTGGGCGCTGGAGAATGACATGAACTGCTTCCCTAACTCTGTGAGCAGCTGGGTTGTGCGTCTAGTGCCGTCCCTGCATCGGGAGCATATGTCAAACTGGAAGCATTTGGTGTGGCCGCGGCTGACGACGTCCTCAACGGCGCGGCCGATGGAGCTCAGGTGAGGGGCCGACACGCAGAAGGTGAGGGCGAGGGTCTCGATGACACGAGGGCTCTTGCCGGCGGCCGGAGAAGGACACACGGACAGCAGCCTGCACGCCGCGTCCTCGAACGCGTCCATGCCCTCGAACAGCGTGGCGCGGTGGAAGTGGCCGGCGTTGAGGTGCAGGCGCGAGAGACGGTAGGGGAGGTGCTGCCACCGCGCCGAGAGCGCGCCGGCGCGGACCGCGTCGCGCAGGTCGAGGCGCTCGAGGATCCCGAGGAGGAGGTCGTCGTGGAGCGCGCCGATTCTGTCCCCATCTCGGCCGACGTTGAGCTTGAGCGGCGGCGGCCCCATGGTCGGGATCCGGAGGCCGATTGATCGACTGAAACCCTAGAATCGATGGCTGAGATGCGCCCTCAGCCGCGGCTCCTGGGTCTGGAGGGGACGGGGAGCGCCAAGCTCGATCGGCCCGACTCCCACCTCCTCCTCCTCCTCCTCTTCGATCCCCCTCCGGCGCGCCGCCGCTAGTCGCGCATGGCTCGCTTGGACTTGGTGCTCGCTTACTTGGATCTGACTGTATTTGACTGATTCGTGCAATCGTGCTGTACAAGTGGATTGTACAGGATGGGGAACACGCGAGCACGGAGGAGCAGAAGAAAGCTCACCCAAGGGTACTTTTTTCTTGTGTTTGGAGTAAATTTTGTTCATATCATGATCAGGCACCACACGCTCGTGATTTTGTACATATGTTTTCAGTAGAAATTTGGAATGTTTTTTAGCTTATTTGAGTGTCTCATTTTTTTCTTCAGAAAGGACCTTTGGTTTTTTTCTCGCCGTTAATTTCTGGCCTGCCCTGCATTTCCTTCTTGGATTCGCCACTGCCTTTACATATACCGAGTTCTTATTTGTTTAAGTTCATTGGTTGTGTATCTTTTTTGGTTGTGTTGTATCATTTTCTCGTTGAGGGCGGTGACTCTTATAACTCTAGAAATTTGTACTTTATTCTTCTTTTTTTTCTTCTTCTAAATGCTTAAGAAAAATGAAAGGCATTGACAATTGGTGGCTAATTGTAAGACTCGAAAAAAAAAATCTATGCGACCGGATTGCACACACCTTCTCGTGAGACCTTCTCCCACGTGCGACACCTGGAGAATATGAATCCTAAAGCAGCAACCGTTTCGTTCCCCACTTTCCCGTTTCCAAATCTCTCCAGCGACCTCAAGCTACAATCGTCGGTGTGATATGCCCCGCTGCTCGCCACATCGCCGCCATTGAGATCCTCGACGCCAGGTATGCCACCCCAGCACTGCATGTTCCATCCCCGCCAGCAACTGCCACGTTCGCTGGGGCCCAACTCACAGCTCCACCCTAGCTCCTCTCCACATTTGGCCATGGTGATGCCCCTTGATGCCGGTTGGGCGCGACTCTGTGCTGGTGGCGCTCCATTCCCACGGGAATTAGCCGGCTGCTTGTCCTCAACGGCCACGACAATGCTCTTGGGCGTCTGCACTTGCGGCACCGCCGACGCACTATGTAGGCTGCAGGCACCGACGACCACGACCACGGTGGATGGTGGGGGAGCAGCGGGGACGGGGCTCGGGTGCTTCCACGATAGAGCAAGCAGAAAAGTTGCGACGGCGCCGACGGCTAAGGAAAATGGATTAGGGATTTGGGTAACGAGGAGGCTGCAAGTCGGAATTCATTGCTTTGAGATTCGTTTCTCCAAGTGTTATGCGCTAGACAGGTCTCACGTTCCGGAGCGCACGACCTGGGTCGTATAAGATTTTTTTTTCCTCAAGACTCTGAAAGACACCACACCCTCAATCTCTGAGCTTGCTAGGCGCAAGCCAATATAGTGATGTATGGGCTCCGCGATAAGCTTTGGATGCAGTCCCTCTGAGCAGTCACTTCCACGCAGTAAATCCTCGAGTATATTCCTTTGATTGCTTCTTCAAGATGTTCACTTTGACCCCGCACTAGAGGATTCCATTGTCTGGATTGCTTTAACCTCGAGTTTGTACTTGATGTCATTCGCACATAATCACAATTTACTGGCGCCACGATCCCATTCCTTTCCACGAAATTTGGATTTTCAAGGCCAAGTCACAGTGTAAGTTTTTTATGTGGCTTCTCCTTCATAGCAAGGCCCTTACCGCAGATCGTCTGGCCATCCGGGGTTGTCCACATGATGAGGTATCCAAGCTTTGCCTATTTGGGCTGAAACAAATGAGCATCTAACACACAAATGCCTATTCTCTCGTTGGGTGTGGGACATTCGTTTTCTCCTGTCTTTCTATAACCCATGGGGCGATACTCATCTTCACAGCCCTTGAGGAATTGTGGAATTTGAACATCTAGCACACAACCGTTTCGGCATGTGAGTACCTAGGTGTTGTGGTATGTTTGAGGAGGGTGAAACAATCGGCTATGGCGCGTGTTTGGTTGCCTGCATATGGCCCAGCCTGGCCCGCGCGGGAAGAACTTGGCCCGTTTGGTTGTCTGTGTTTACTGTGCAGCCCGCATCGCACGGAACTTAAAGCACGTCCAGGCTAGGCCTAGGGGAAACGCCCGAATCGGCAGTAGCTCACGAGCCTGGCTCGGGCAAGGCAGGAGAGGGCGACGCGCTTCTCTCCTCGTGCGACCAGGGAGATGGCGCGAGCTCGCCCGCATCGCCAAAAAATCGCCGGGAGGATTCCGGCTCACCTCCCGCCGAGTCCAGCACTATTTAGCCCCCTCCCTCACCGCCCCAACTCCCTCCACCATTATCCCTCCCTTCGAGCTCCCCGCCGACATGCATAGGCACTGACGAGCAGGTAAGCGGCGCATCTTCATCGGCCGGCGGTCCACGGCGTCGTCGCTTCTTCACCGGCCGGCGGTGATCTTCTACGATCGTCCCCCCTCGTCCTCGAGCTACAGCCATGGCCTCTATGAGTTAAATCCCCCTTTCTCTCTGTTCCTTCTAGCTAGATCTGAGCTGCAGTTAGGGTTTGATCCAGATGCATGGTTGATTAGTGGTCTGATCGGAGAGCTCATATGGTTGATTGCTATGCCGCGGTTGCAATTTGTGGTAGGGCTAGATGTTCAAGCATGTGGTAGGCTAGATTAGTAGTAGAGTTTGAAGTTAAACCTTGTGCTTCTGTCGATTCATGCTTGGATCTGTGATTTGTAGCTATTGGTGGTCCATTTTGTAGCATGCTATTTGTTGTGGATATATGTTCGTGCTCATAGATTGTCTGGTATGCTTAGTATGATAGCGATGAACCATGTGCTTAGTATGATAGTGATGAAGCATGTGGTTGTTATGATAGTGATGAGCCATGTACATGTACGCTCCTGCTTTCATGGATTGTCCGGTATGTTGTGTGCTAGCTTACTGTCAATGCGTGCTACGATTGTAGGACATGACCACGCAGACGCACGATCTTAGTAAGGCCCTTGTCCTATCCGACAGCCAGTTTGCTCCATTGTTTGTCGAGGACTCGCAACCTATGTCCGAGATGGCACCTGATTCAGAGGTGATCGCGTCTGATTCCCTCTATGTGCCAGTAGTGCTCGTTGAGCCAACTCCTGCTGCTGTTGCTGCTGTCGCTGCACTCAAGGTAGCAACAACAAAGGCAAAGAAGGATGGTAGGTCAAACAACATGAAGTGGCAGCCATTCATGTCCATGTTCGTTTTGAACAAGATGTGTGAGCTCATCTCTAGTGGAATTAGGACTGACAAGGGCTTCAAGGAGGTGCACTTGAACACCGTTACGAAGTAGGTGTTCGAGTTCTATGGGTAGGAGGTGTTTGCCACCCAGGTGTACAACCACCTGAGGAAGTGGAGAGGTCGATGGATCCAAGTGTCCAAGCTGAGAGACCTTACGGGCGCCTCATGGGATGAGAACACTTGCTTCATAGTTCTGGAGGCAGAGCACTACGTCGGCCATGTCGCAGTTAGCTCACAGCCCTCTTCCTTTTCATACTGTCCACCATTGCCTACTCCTAATCGCAACTAACAACACTTGTGTTTCATTCTTAGGACCACCCAAGGGACGTTGAGTTCCTCAACACATCCATACAGAACTACAGTCGGATGCAACAAATCTTCTCCTTCGGACTGGCAACTAGGAAGCATGCCATGGGCTCGGGGGAGCCTCTTTGTTCTCCCATGCCAGACTTCCCTGGGACCCTGGATGTCGAGGTCCTTGATGGCACTGACAAGCCCTTCGTGAAGCCCTTCGACAAGCCATTTGACCCCGTCCATGATAGGAAGAGGAATAGAGGAGGCCTGATGGAGGAGGAGATCAATGTCTTTTACAGCATGACTGAGGCGGTGAAGGAGGTGGCAACAACCATCAGGGAGTGCAAGCCCCTCGACGTCCACCCTGACCTGTCATGACCCAGGGTGGCTTCAGCAACGAGGCTCTCATGGCAGCTCTTAGCCACCTGCTTGACAACAAGGCACAGGGTGTTGGGTTCGTTGCCATGGCAGACGCTCACATGGCGCTGTGGCTCAGGAGTTGACTGGGCAAGCACTACTACTAGAGTGTTGCTGCCTGCGAGTGTGCATGATCCCCGACGACGATGGCGGTGGCGACAACAACGACGATGACGACGTACATTTTTTGTAGCTAGGGCTGAAAACTATTTGATGGTCTGTATATTTTGGTATGGTGGTATATACTAACCCCTCACGCTGATGGTGAACTTGCGGTGGTAGGACGACACCCTCTTTTGGATGTGGTGGTAGGTTAACACCAAGGTAGTGCTAGGCGGAACTTGCTATGTCGTATGATCATGCATGCTTTACTTCTTCTTTTCTGCTCCATTGTTGTTTGTATGCTGCTTTGCTTGCTACTTGTGTGCTTCATTGTTTTGCTGCTTCAACTCTTGCTCTTGTGAATTGTTAGGGCAAGTGGTATGTTGTGTTCATCGGTAAGGCTCCAGGGGTTTACAGTTCATGGGAAGAAGCCAGTGCACAAGTGGCACCGTATAGCAACAGCAGTCATAGAGGGTTCAAGACTAGGCAGGCAGCAGAACAAGCTTACTCTGACTGGGTGCGAAAGCACGGAGGCAGCAATGTTGACGATGGCAAGGTTGGAGGTATCGTCTGGCCATGCGGGGTTGTCCACATGATGAGGTATCCAAGCTTTGCCTATTTGGGCTGAAACAAATGAGCATCTAACACACAAATGCCTATTCTCTCGTTGGGTGTGGGACATTCGTTTTCTCCTGTCTTTCTATAACCCATGGGGCGATACTCATCTTCACAGCCCTTGAGGAATTGTGGAATTTGAACATCTAGCACACAACCGTTTCGGCATGTGAGTACCTAGGTGTTGTGGTATGTTTGAGGAGGGTGAAACAATCGG